CTGGCAGCAATTATGGAATGGCTGGTTCGTTTTTCCAAGGCACTGCCGCTGATGCTGCCTGCCGTCTCCTCAAGGAGAATCAGAGGAAGAGTTTAGGACCTGGATTTCCTGCTTAACTTTGGATTATTTTCTTTGAATCACTCGGTTTGTTCAGCCTACAGAAGAGGAGACTGAGGGGAGACCTCGCTGAGCTCTTCAACATCCTCATGAAGGGCAGTTCCAGTCTCTGCTCTCTGTGACCAGGACAAGAGGAAACAGCTGGATCCAGTGTCACAGGAGGTTTAAATGATTAAAGGAAAAATGTTTTCACCCAGAGCATGGTTGAGCACTGGAGTGGGATCCCCTGGGTAGTGGTCACAGCTCCAGACCTGTCTGAGCTCCAGGAGCATTTGGACAAAGCTCTCAGACATGGTGGGATTGTTGGGTGTCTGCAGGGCCAGGGGTTGAACTTGATAACCCTAATGGATTCCTTCCAGCTCAGCATATTCTATGGTTCTATGACTGCTGAGTGGAACCATGTTTGGTTTCTGGAATTAGATACTCTCCTGGTATCTCCTGCAAACAAGCTGAGCTTTCCTCCAAATTTGCCAACAAAGCAGCAGAGCTGGGCTGCACCAGCACCAGCACCACTGGGATGGGCTAACACTGATACAGAACTGGTGCTGCTGTGGACTAAAGAAGGTGCCTTGGCACGGGAACAGTTCCCCTGGGAAAGGCGATCTCCAGAGTGAAAGTGCCTTATATCAGCTTGGTTTGTTCCTCTCCTCATGTGGGAAGAAACTCCTCCTGTTCATTTTACAGTGTAGTACTGTTCCTAAGGCAGGTGTATAGAATCAGGGAATAATAATAAATAATACATAGGAAATAATAATGAGGTATATAATCAGGAAATGACAGAAACATTAAGGTTGAAAACTCCCTCTAAGATCATTAAGTCCAACCATTAAATGACAAGTGCCATGTCCGCCACTAAATTGTGTCCCCAGGGGGTGAGGGTAAAGGAGATCTAAGCCTGGACATGGGACCAGCCCTCAAAGGTGCTGAGACTTTGACACTCTAGCCAACAAATGCCAATGGAGAAGTCACAGAGGGCCAGCAAGGGCCACAGAATGACCTGGTTACCAGGACAGCCTGCTGGGGACACACCTGTGGCAGCACCTGGCTCATCCATGTGTCACTTGGGCTTGTCCTGTGCTTTCCTGGGTGCCTCCAAGAGAGCTGTGCTTTTAGAAATGCTGTCAGGAAAATGCTGTGTGCTTTGGTTTTCCTTGGGGAGTGAGCTTGCTTGGACACCTGTGGGCTGGCTAGGACGCACACACATCCTCTTGGGAGGCTCCAGGACACAGAACTGCCTGCTAAAAAAGGCTCCCAGGAAAAGGACACCCCCCAGCTCCTCTCCATCCTCACAGCACACAGGGCAGAGCAGGTCTTGTGGGAATCTTTAAAATTAGAATGTTTTTAGAAAGTGCAAAAGGCAGGCGTCAGAGACAGCAGAACTGCAATTAGAGCTAAGCAGCAGCCATAAGGTTTGTCAGCAGAAAAGTAAGGACAAATAGAACAATGGTCTGTGTATTAACACTTGTCTAGAATAACTCCCTAAGCTGCAGAAAAGTTTATCTAGTGAGATATTAGGAAGTTCTAAGCTTAATAATGGAGCTCTGTGCATTATGTTTTAAGGCTNTGAGCCACCCCTCACCCACAGGCAAATACTGGCAAAGGGACACAGTGGCACCTACTGGGGAGAATGGTTTTGTATCTGTCCTTGAAAGCACGACCAGGGATTTCCAGCTCCTCCGGACTCACGAAGTTGGGTGGGATTTTCTGCAGGGGGAGAAAACAGCCATGAGGAAAAGGCCATTGCTGCCACTCATGTCCCCTGGTGGTGGCACACCTGGCTGCCCAGCAGGGCAGAGCTGACCCAGAGGCATCAGCAGAGGTGCCAGCTCCTGGGATGAGTCCTGGCTTTACTCCAGCTGTGGTGGGACTCCTTCCAGAGAGGCAGTGCTGGGAGAAGAGCACAGCATGGCAGGGCAGGACAGAGTTTTGCAGGGACCCCAACAGGACACATGCGCACCAGGGACCAGGTGGGACCTGGGCACCCCTCCCCTGTCTTCCCACACCTCCTGCCCTCCCCCTGGGGCTGTGGGGCACAGCTGGGCTCAGAGCCCAATGTTCAGCCCCACCACTGCCAGGCCCTGGCACCCCTCCTGCGAGGAGGGAGAGGGAAAATCATGATCATCGCACCGAGAACTCCTCCTGGAGCTGTGCCAGACTCTGGGCGTGCTGCTGGAGCTCCTGTTTCCTCAGCACGTGGCTGGATGTCCTCAGAAACTTCAGTGTGATGTCCCGTGGCGTGCAGACAGGCTGGATGGGCTCCACGTTCCCCAGAGAGCTCATATCCAGCACTAGTGACACATTGGAGCCCCTCCTGCAAGGCACAGGGTCCCTGGCTGACCTACTGCCACCCTGGGACAGAAGGACAGCCCACCCCACTGCATCATCAGCTAAAAGCACCCCACACTGAGCAAAGGGCAGATGGAGACCCCAGCAGACTGAGGAACAGGAGCTAGCTGAACATTTTATGATTGATAGCTGAACATTGCCTTTCTGCTGGGAAGAAAAGTCCCCTGAAGGACTGAAGGTGTTGGGATTTATCCTGAGCTGCCTTCACACTCAGAGCTGGCAGCTGCAGGCAGAGGGCTGGCAAAGGAGTGTCAGGGGAGCCCTGGGATGAGCAGTGCCATGGGTACCCCGAGGCACACTCACCTCTCCTGGAGCCGCACGTGCTTCTTGGCAGGGGAACTGGGCTTCTCTGCCTTGTCCATGTCCTCTGCAGATGCCTGGGCTGCCAGGCTGCCCCTATGAACTCTGGAGCACACCAAGCAGGCTTGGACCATGCTGCAGCAAGCACAGAGCCCTCGTCCTGAAGCACAGCAGGGCAACACAGCGGGGACTCAGCTCCTGGGAGAGCATGGAGCCATCGCAGGAGAAGCAGCTGGAAAAGAAAAGTCAGATGTGAGAAACACCACAAGGCTGGATGGAGCCCCCATGATGGTCTGCAAGCAAGGATGGATTTTAAGTGCTCAGTTGTCCTGGAAGCAGGACCCCCAGCCCCTGTATGCAGGCAGATATCCTGGAGAGCTGCCAGCACAGTCACCCTCCCTGCAGCACTGCAGCCCACACTGGTGAACAAGGCATGGCACCAAGGGCCACCTGCGTCCCCTGAGGGGAGGACACCCACTCTGGTGGCAGGCACAGCCGGGTTTGGGGGAGCCCCAGATGCTCTCCACCTCCATGGAAGCACATGCCCTGTGTTCCCAGCCCTTCCCCATCACATCCCCCTGCTTCATCCTGGGGACATGGTGGGGACTGGGAGCTGGAATGTCTGAGCACAGCAGCGCTCAGCAGGTGACATGAGGTGGCTGTAGCCACTGCACAGAGCCTGGCCATCTCCTGCTGCAGGGACACACAGACCAGGCAACCTCTACATCCCCATGGCCCTGGGACAGCCTCCTCCATCCTGCAGGTCACAGAAACTGTCGAGAGGAAACTGCTTTATCTGGGTCGTTGAGCAAAAGGCCATGGGCAGCCCAGCTGGGGAAGGTGCCAGACATCCTCCTTCTCCAGGGCTGGGGAGGTGCAGGTGATGCTGACTCACCTCTGGGCACAGTTCCTCATGGTGCAGGCAGCACCCTGGGATCCTGAGCCTCCTCCTCACCCCCTGAGCCTCCTCCTCATCCCCTGCTTCCTCCACGAGCAGGAGACAGACCCAGAGCCAGGGAATGATGCAGAGTCAGAGCTCTTGGGGTGCAAAGAGTGGGATCCCAGGCAGCCCATCTGCTCAGGGAGGTTTTGTGGAGAGCTGGTGCTCCACATGGTGGTTGGGAACACAGCTGGGGCAGGAGGTGCTGCCCAGGATTCCCTGCTGCCCAGTGCCATTTCTGAGAGTGGCAATGCCACCACTGCCACTCACACCATCCCCATGTCCTCAATGCAGGCAGGACAAGAGCAGCTGCTGGCCAGAGACAGCCCAGGCTCACATCCCAGTCTGGCCAGGAACACCTGAGAGATGCCAGGGAAGCACCTCAGCTCCCATGGCCTGCCCAGCATCCTGGCCT